ATAAATTAGGCTGTGACCTAATGTCACACACTCCTCTTTTGAATTAGTCAATGGGTTATCGTAAAATATTTATTTGCGCAGGCGACTTTTTTTGGCGGTTTTCTGGACTATCGCCAAATATATAAACCTTTATTGCGGCCCAATTTACCACCCAATTTTTTTAAAATTTTGTCTACCCCCCTAATTCAAGGGTCTAGATTCCAAATATGCAAAAAACAAATTATATGTTTATTAAGAGAAAGTACGTTTTTGTGTCTGATTTCGTAACTTAATTAATAGTTAGCACTAATTAATTAACATATTTGAAGTCTCCCCCAGGAACCATTAAGATTGACACTTAGTTCGTGAAAATCCGATCATTAGAACGAAAGTTATTCAGGGTGATTCGTTTTTTTTTGCGGACTGTACACTAATTAATCTGTTCCTAATACCCCTGATCCAAAAATATATATTTAAGTGGAATATTCTATTCGATATGGAATATTTTATCTAAACAAATTGTAATCAATGTTAATTATGATTAAGTACATCATGGAAGACCTTTATAATTTTAATTTGTTACAGGCCTTTTCAAATCTTGCTCGGCATCTGATATCATAAAATATGTTACTTACAGACTAGAAGAAGATAGTGCCATACTTTGTCAACAACGGCAAAAGGTAATATTACTTTTTATTACAAAAAGAGGCTTTGATATATATATATTATATATATATATAGTAGTACTTCACAAAATGGCAATCAAGAATTGGGACTTGCAATTTTAACTCCCTACTTTCTAATTTTAGTTGTTTTAAAATTAAAATAAAATAAATTGTTTACCTGTCAATTACTTATCTCTGATTTAACTATATTTTTTATTATTCTGTTTCACTGCTTTTTTTTGTTCTGTTCGTTGTGATATATGAAACCCTAAGAATTTTCCCCATCGGTCGTATATTTTCCTCTGCAAGGGGGGGGGGGAGTATGAGTAAGGTATGATTTGGTAGCAGTTTTTACCAAGGAAATGTAAAAGCTCGCTACGGCTGGTCTTGCCATCTTGTTTGGTAATATTTGTAAAAATTTTATAACCGTCGTTGAACAGCTGACCCAATATTTTGCTTAGAACTACTAATGGCCAACGCCGTAGCCTTGTAATTTTGAACCCAATCCAGAAGACAAGGGAACTCCTGGATCGATTTTTGGAAGAAATTTGTAGGAATTTTAGATGGAACTAACTCGCATTTGTGTTGCATGCAGAGAAAGACCACGATAAACTCCCACGGTTAGCCTGGCTGTAAGAGGACTCTAACCCATGATCCGTCTACCACAGAGGATATTTCACGTCAGCACTGTGGTTGGTGCCAGCCGGATGCGGAATTCGTATCGACCCACCATCGCTGGGATTCGAACCCGGTTTACCACATTGGAACGCGAACGCTCTATCCCCTGAGCCATCACGGCTTCTTTTTTGGTAATTGTTTTCATCCCTCAGAATAACATCTTTTAGGCATGGATATATGCTTTTTTTCTTTCTTATTTTTCGATTGCATCCCTATATAATTGTTGCCAGATGCTTAAGTTAAGTATTAAAATAAAATATGTCGTTATTAGTTTCGAATAGAGACGCATTAATGTTTTTAATTGTTGTAAGCATAAATTTAGTTAGATAATCCTGTCCATATTCCGTGCTGCATTTTCCGTACTGCTGTTTTTTCCATCTATGTTATAAATATGAATGGAACAAGCCTCAAAATATTTCATCTTTACTAAACATACTTATTAATATTACAAATGATTTTTTTCTTACTTATAAAAGTTTAAAATAATTATTCTGAGCAGTAATTGCTTTTTAGAAATACGAGTAGATGCTTATAAGAACTAAAAAAAAAACATAATTGGCTAAAATGACTAATTTGCCTTAAATATCAATTGATGCATTTTTGGCGACTATATTATTATTAAATTTGATTCCAGACAAAAATTATTATTCTTATCTAAACACACTCTTTACAGTTAATTAATGCTTATTCAAATATAAAATAATGTTTCTACGCTAGAATTGCTCATTAGATTTAAGCAAGATAAGGTATTTTTATGTCAAGTAATGATTACTATTCCAAATACTATTTTGTACAACCAACCCTTAAATGGTCGTTTCTAATGTGATATTTTTTTTCAACAGTCAGAAAGATTGAATATTCAGTTTGTTTATGTGTATGATTGTGATAGATTAACTTTTCAAGCAGTTACCAACAAAACTAGTGAGTATAAATAAATTTTAAATACATATTATTAAATATAATTTTATCATGAATATACTACAGTCCCTGGCAATATTATTAGACGCACTATATGATTCTATGTAAAATTGCAATTATCAGGTGTTACTATACAGAGATACTGTTTTTAATCGGAAAAAACCGGTTTGCATTTGTTAACGCTCCTAAATCAATGGGTTAACATTGTAATGCAATACGCTGAAAATAAATACAAATAGGAATTATGTAAAACATTTCCCGAATTAAAACCCATTACATGTATGTTTAAATGTAAAAGTATTGGCTATAAACTCGTGCAAATCATGTCATTTTTAAAACACTGCAGTGCGTCTAATAATTTGATCTAATTATTATAATATACTAATATAATGCTTCATATAATAAATATTCTATATATATATAATGTATCTTCGAATTTAACCATTTGATACACGAACGTAAACAAGTGCAAACTGGTTTTAGTCGCGGAAAAACAATGAAGCTGTATAGTATCACTTGATAACTAAGATTTTATATAGAATCTTACAGTGCGTCTAATAATTTGGCTAGGGACAGTAAACTTTATATAAAATGAACATAATACCTGAAAAATTAGCTATTTAAAATAAACACTATATCCTATCGTCAAATTTACATTATTTATCGTCTAACTTAACCCATTGATACACTAACGTAAACAAGTACAAACCGCGTATAAACAATAAAGCTATATGGTATCACCTTATAATTAAAGTTTTACATAGAATCTTAGAGTGCGTCTGATAATAAGCACAAAGAAATTAAAACGAGAACATAACTTATTAGCAAAAAGTGTAAAGTAAAAAAAAAAATTTTGAAATTTAACAATCAAGTAAAAATAGAGAATAAAAATTCAGGAAAACACAAAAAAAAAACTAAAAATGTGATATATAAAGCAAAAAGCGCATTTAAATGTATACTTTTACTAACAGGCATTTAAAATGTTTTCGCAACAAGTTAGCCAGATTACAAAATATGAAAAAAAAAAAGACTCGTGAATAGTGGATGAAGGGTAATAGCGCGTTCCTACTGTCTACAGAAGCGTATTTGATTTGTTAGCTATTTTGGATTGGACAGAATCTGGATGTGCACAAGTTAATAACAGTATACTGGATAATTCAAAGTTTATAATTAATAAGGTTGAGCCGTGGTGGCTCAGGGGATAGAGCGTTTGCCTTACAATGAGGTGAACCTCGTTCGGATCCCAGCGATAGCTGGTCGATACTAATTCCGCACCCGTCTCGCACCGACCACTGTGTTGGCGTAAAATATCCTTAATGATAGACGGATCAAGGGCTAGAGTCCCCTTGCCATCAGGTTGACTTTTCTGAGAGAATTCATATTATTTAAAGAACTACTTCCATTTAAGGAAAAAAATTAAATTTTTTTCAATTAATAAATTTTTAATTAAATTTCTTTCATTATGGATATTTTTTAAATTTTGTAGCTGATGCAAATCTATTGAATGTATTTTAAAGAAAATGTATCTAAATAAGGAAATAACTTTTTAATAATTGAATTCACATAATTTCTTACAGATATTCAAATATGTTTGCAAAGTGCAGGCACTTTTCAAGATAATTTCCCAGAATTTGTGAAAGCAATTTACGTAATCAACGGTAAGAATTATATAAATATGTATATCTTAAAATACTAAAATATTCCAGTTATCTATTTTGTTTCGTCGAAAATTACACTTAAAAAGGAATATAGTGGAAGTATAATGGAAGAACTGGATAAGTGACATTTTTAAAATAATTGAGAATTCTCGTGAAAAGTTTTTAGTTTAGTCTTGTTCACATATATAACGTTAATTTATAAAGCTAAATTTATCTAATTACAAAGATACTTAGTAGAAGAACCAGAAAGTGAATTTTATCCAAAGAGCGGTATAAAGTTTGTATTCCTTAATAATAATTTTACTTTTTGGTATTTCGCCTTATGCAGTGAGATTTTTTTAGCGAATTGAAAATTTTTTGTGCACAATTATAAAATATATTTATCTAAAGATAATTCCAGGCAAAAAATAACTTTCAATAAACATGTATTTTTTTATTATTTTATTTAATATTTGTCGAAAAAATTTTAAATTGTTAGGTATAAAATTTTTACAAGGCAAAATATGCAAGGCAAAATATACAAGGCATAAATTTACAAGACAAAATACAAACTTTGAGGGAAATCGGTCGGAATAGTTTCTGAGAAATCGAATTTCAAAAAAGTTACATTTTTAAGGAAAGGAGGGCAACTACTATACACCAGAAGCAGAGAAAAGGAAAATTCCAGGTGTATCACAGCACCAAACATCAAGGAATTTTCTGTTCTTTTTCTTTTCTTTTTTTTCTTCATTTTTTGGTACCATCACACCATTTTAAGGATAAAATATTGGCTACCGTTATTAGTGTTAAGATACACTAAAATGTTCTACATTGCGGATAAAAAGTCATAGGGGATTTGTCGGGAGGTGTGGTTGATGGAAGGGCCATGTGGTGAAGATCATTCGCCATCTGCTTGTGCTAGATGTTGTATATCTCCATTCAAATGAAAAACACAGATTTTTGTAGACGAAGGCAACATTTTTATTTCATTTCGGTTTTGAGAAACATGTTCATTTCAGTAAGCGGCTCATCAATGCACAAGAGCCTAACTGCACCACGTGCATGCTGGATCCTCCCTGTGTGCTCCAGGGAGTAGATAGTAATTTAATTTAAGTCATTTGAATAATAATTGTTTTCTTGCTGAATTTACCTGATGCATCAAATAATTAGGAGATAAGGAAAAACTTATTATGGTAAAAATCAATGATTAAACTCTAGAGCACACAGGGGGAAAAAA